TTATTTTTGCTAAAATATTTCAAATGAAGCATAAAAAGCGCTCGTAAAATTATTACGAGACGAAAGATATTTGAAAGTCTTTAATATGTGAAACTAATATAAAAAAGTACGTAGAATCTGATGGTGTTAATAGTTTTCGAGTGCGGTGTCAGATAGGTACTCATCGGCAATATTTCGCCAAAATATATGAAATAATTGAAACATAAAAAAGCGCTCGTGAAATTATTACGAGATGGAAGATATTTATTAAGCTCTAAGAAGTGATAATTATGTAAAAAAGTACGTAGAATCTCATGGCGTTAACAGTTTTCGGGTGCGGTTTTTAATGTTTCAGTTATTTGATATATTTCACCGAAAATAGCATAAATGAGTACCCATTTGACACCGTACTCGAAAACTGTTGATACCATCAGATTCTACGTACTTTTTTACGTAAATGTGACTTATTAAACCTTGGTGAATACCTTCCATCTCGTAGTAATTTCACGAGCGCTTTTTTATGTTTCAATTATTTTGTATATTTTGGCGAAATAGTTCCGATGAGTACCTATCTGACACCGCACTCGAAAACTGTTAACACCATGAGATTCTACGTACTTTTTTATATAATTTTCACCTCTTAAAGACTTTCAAATATCTTTCGTCTCGTTATAATTTCACGAGCGCTTTTATATTCTCCAGCATTATTGTTGCTAAAATATATGAAATGAAGCATTAAAAAGCGCTCGTAAAATTATTACGAGATGGAAGGTGTTTACTAAGGTTTAAGAAGTCACAATTATGTAAAAAAGTACGTAGAATCTGACGGTGTTAACAGTTTCCGCGTTTCTATGTTCATTTTATGATAATTTCGCACTAGAAATATTTTCGAGCGTGAAATTTGCTAGTCACAATAAGTCTTCCGCCGCGCCTGGTACCAACAGTAGTAACTTTCATAGAAAATATACAGAACAAACACCCTGTACATGATGTATTACCTATGCAAGAATAGAGTCCCTGTTTTTTGAGTTTCATTTCGTAAATCTCTTGGTCGACACTTCTTCGACAGTCTTCTCCTGCTTCTCTAATTGATATCGTTTCTTTGTTGTTCATTATTGACCCGACGAAGCATTCGTAGGAACCATCACTTACGTCTTTTCTTTGGGTGTAAGTGTAGAGTAAGTTGTTTTCTTGCCAGTGGCCCAGGCAGGTGTACTCCCTTTCTTCGTAAATTTCATTCGTTTCGCAACTGGACACTTGGTAATACATGACATCAGGTACTCTACAGTCTGACCACAGTTTGGCACAAAGGTCATCAGTGTTGGGAATCAATCCAGTGTATTCCCCCGATATTGGACAGGCAACATCCACTTTTTCATCGACCCCTTAAGAAAAAATTACCTGTTTTTGTTTGACCAGCAAAATATTTTTTGTTCTTTTTCATAAATAATTTCTTAAACACACACGTGTATGTATGTACGCGTACCTAACAAGAAATAATTTTATTATATGTATTAGAATTTTGAGTGCATACATTTCCTTCTTTTAGTAGGCATTTCTTACGAAGTAGTTTCGTTTTTGTTAAGATCCTTTTCCTGTCTTCAGCATTCGTAATTATATTGGTAATTACTTGCAGCAGGTGCATATTTAAATTTAACAAAAGTTGTGCGTGTAGTTTTTCATTTTTTTGATTTTATTTCGAAAGATCGTGTTTGGAGTCAAGAATGATGCAAATGAAATCTTCAACCGGAAATCTCAGCATCCGGTAATAGCTGTTAAACTGGTTTGTGTATCTTTACTTCAAAATTACACAGACACAAGGCTCAGACACATAAAAATATGTAAGCGCAAACATTTTTAGATCACAATCATCTCAAATAATTATCGATAAGTACTTAATAAATGTTTCCTTTTTCTAATTTTATCACAACTGTTTTGTAATGAATTGATCTATTAATATCTGATATATGTGGAAGTGACTTATTTTTAAACTAAAATTATTCAGATATTGGATAATTAATGTCGATTATTATTCATCGTTCGTAGAATTGGAATATTTTGTTTGGTGACGCGTGGTTAATTAAGAATCCTAATAAAAAAAAAAAATGGGCAGGAAGACAAAGAAGGGTTTATAAGTAAGTTACTTCTTGTGTATGGAAAAACTGGATTTGCAGGTCGGTGGAAGTCCGAGAACAGGTGTGTAGTACCTGTTTATTATTAGGAGCAGTGTCTAGTGTTACCTGTAAAATTGCACTGCGTGATGCAGATGGAATGTGTAGGTACGACTCGTACATTTACAAATTGAAACATTACACATGACAATTAAAACAAACCCGTTTTAACATTTTTTCTTTCAGTAGGTACTTAGTAAAATAATTTTTAAAAGTATCCACAATTTTTATAAAGTACTTGTTCAAGAAAACGCTTGAATTACCGTGCTTCCAAATATTGAAGCACAGTTTAAAGGGCAAAGCACTAAAACCCTACCCAATTCTAGTTCCAACAGTAATGCAGTCTTTATTAAACATGTATGACTTACTTCCCTGTGTAATCCAGGCACCTTCTTCGAAATTGTCTGAGTTACACAGGCCATAGGCGTCAATTGTTTTACTAAACGTCTTCCCAAGTTGCAATTCCATAATATTGTCGCTTCTCTTTTGAATTTTCATGCAGTTGTACTGCTCCTCGCCGCTTTAAAAAAGTATATTTTGAATGAACCCTTGTACTAGGGAGAATAGAGAACACATACCACTGATTCCTGCTGAATATTAAATATTTGTTATCGTCATCATCTAAGACTCCCATACATTTAATTGTAAAAGTTTTAAACGTCGATCGATCTTTATAAACTAAAGTGTTGTCAAAGATTTTGACATGTTCCCAAGTTCCTCCCATCCATTGCGGAAAACTAATAAAAGGTGTATTAAATACGTAAAGCCTTATTTGGAAATCAACCAACTTACTTGCATTGTCCATAAGACACTTCAGGTGGCCAGTTATCCTCGATTAGGGGCTTCAAACTTAGATGTTCGTATATGAAATCGGAATTATCAGATTTCGTTGGTGTTGGACAAGCCGAATCTTTCCTAAATTGCATGTTTATTGTTCCTTCAAGCTCATTACGAGTATACAACTGAAAATACCTCTCTAAATTTAGTTTTGGTGACGACAACCAAATTTTCGAGGAATAGACTTATAAAACTCAAAAATATTAGAAGCACAGGTACTTACAGCACATTTGTATTGAACAGCTTTTGGATTATTTGTTTGTCTTTTATCAGTTAGAGCTAAATAATTTTCCCCATTTGGTCCCTTCCAGTGCCCCAAGCACTCAAAAGACACGTCTACAAAAGCGCAACGTACATATCTCAACAAGTTGTAAAACTTACGAAGTGTTCAACATTACCGAAATCATTCACGTTGCACTGGCGAAATCTAAAATTTAAATGAGAACCAAAAGGACACGAGTCAAGGGTCGATTCGTTCTCTTTACATTCTAAAGTGTAATTTTTATCTACACTTTTATAATTGACCGAAAATTTACCATCCAAAGGACAATATTCGGTTCGGGTTGAAGTACCTGCAGCGTCTTTAGTTTCTAAAAAATTATCTTGTACCCACAGTGAACTCAATGTAAAAAGAATCGACTTTTAAATGCCATCATAAAAATAGTTTTAACTAAATTATGAAACTGCAAAAAGTAAATAACTGTGCCAGTTACCATAACTAAAATAATATAGTTCGTATCTTTTTACGAGCGCATTTAAAAAACGATCTCTTTAATTAATATACTTGATATAACTTTTAGCTAATTGTGTTATCAATAACTTACTAAACAGTAATATTTCTGAGTTTAATGAGTTCTGCACAAATTCTGTAGTTGGGCAGTTGTTAATTGCCGATTCTTCATTGACGTAACATTTCGAAATTGTTTCTTGACCTGTTGTAAATACTTGCATTATATTTTTGGATCTCATTTTCAAATGAAGACATCGTATGCATTTGTTAACGCCATAACTAAAACGATTTTTTTTTAATTAACTACAACAGTTTACTGTGTATCATATACAGGGTGTTATTTCTCTTAAAGAGAAGTTTGAAAGAAGAACGAAGTACAGAAGCTAAAGTTAGAGATTTATTAATGTTAAAGAAATAGCACGTACTCTAATATCAAAACAAAATTGCTTCCCCTTCTTTCGTGGCAATTACCCCAAATGGGTATCGATGTAGCTGTAATATTTAATGTACTATATTGAACATTCCCATACAAATTGGAAACCGTTTGCATTTTATATTCCCCTTGAAATTCAAGTGGAAAATAGCAAATCGCTGTACATCTCTGACCTAAAAACGAAAGAAAACAGAAAGTACTTAAACGATTTTGGATTGAATGAAAAGAATGCACCACCACAACAACCATTTGTGGTAGGAAAGAAGTTAAGTTACAGATGCGTAAAAATTACGAAGTTTATTCGGACTTGGGTGAATGCTGCTCAGGTATTTGTCATCAGTAAAAACTTGTTTTAGTTCGATAAACACACTATACACACAAATAATAATTTTACTGGCCGAGTACATTTCGGAATACAGAAGTGGTCTTTTTGAAACATTAGTTTGTACGAATAACCTTGGATATTTTTTCATTGTAACAATCTATGTATAGGAAAATGCTTCTTTGAGAAGAAACCTTTAGGAAACAATTTGTGCCCAGTTAGCATAAATTTCTTTATGTACTATGTAATGTACTAATCGTGAGTACAAAATACATATAGGTTTACAGGTTATCAGGGTCGCTGACTTAGATTTGATTACCCAACCAGAACATTTCGCGAGTCAGCTTATAAAGAAAAATTCTTTCATTGCACGACGAATGCCACAGTTTTACCACTTGTAACTTAACAAGTACATGCACCGGATTAAAAAATTTTAACGAAGAAAATCAAACTAATTTTCTTTCCACTAGGTAGCGACGTAAATAATTAATTAGAAAGCTCACTAATTAGGAATTTACTTCATGGTGTGGTGCTACCATAACAAAATTAATTAATCACAACGTGTAGGTATAATTAATAAAAGGTGTTCCAGAAAAAAAAATAGTAAATATCCTTTGGGACTTAATGTAAGGTGGCTAGGTAGATAAATTTTACTTGGGCAATGAAGTGAGAGGGTACATATATCTACATATATCAATATCAACCACTTCCGGTTAAAAAGAACCGCCTGAATCAGATCGCTGGAAATCCTTTTGACTCACAATAAGTTTATATATATTAAAGGGCATAAAAAGTTAAAAATCATTACAAAAAAATAATAATTTACTTACGTCGCTCGTGTAGAATAAAAAATAATAAGACGTACAGGACCGTATTCATTTTCTTTTTCTTTTTGGAGTCGAAATTTCAAATCAAGAACAACTCGCTAGGTGCAAAATCGAAAAAACTAACGCGTATTTTTATACATCTTTTTGGTTTTTCTTTTTTGATTTCACGCACTAGGTAAAAGAATTTGTTTTTGTCAACTACGAAGAGTTTTCTCGCTGAACCGCTATTTAGAAGTGTGCTTACAACTCTGACTTGAATGGTCGACCGATCTTCAGAAACTTATGAATGAAAGAAAGGCAAGGTAAAGTAAGGTAAAGTAAATTGTGTAGGTAGTGGTATAATAGTAACAATCTGGTTGGCCCCCAGGTAAAACACGGAGCACATTCTGTAGTGTAGTGTATGATAACAAGTATGGACCTGTCGCAGATCTCAGACGTGACCAACAAAGAATTGGATTAGTGCATTCACGAACAAATAATTTTTTTTTCTTTGCTACACAGTAACTGGGTAATAAGATTATTCACGGGTGCAAAAAATATACATTCCAAATTTTATTTTTGATGATTTAAACTGCTTCACAGAATTATTAGTATGCTGATTGCAACTCTATACTTTGAAAGTGCTTCAATTACTTTGAAAAGACTTAAAACTTTTTGAATTACAAATTGCAAAGGAATTCGATAAGTAATTTATTTATGAAAAGAATAAATGCCATATTAATATTTTCATATCGATCTCTTATTATATTTTATTAATTTTGCAACAGCTTTCTGGAAATGGGACCAAAAAAACAGTGAAAAGTAATAACTTATTATATTATGCAGCTTTAGTAATTTAATGTTATAAAAATGTTTAAGATTTTTCAACCAAATTGTACAAGATCGATCACATTAAAAATATTACTAATTGATTAGTTATTTCTAGGTAATATTTAGTGGTTTGCTTTAGGATAGTATTGAGTTTCCTATAAAAGTTATTTTCGTGGAAAAATACGTTTCTAATTTTCTTTATAGTTACATTAATAAAGTTGTAATATTTGCTGTATGTTAAGTTGCCTATATATCATATTATAAATTGTAGTTTAATTTATAGCTAAAAAGAATTAAATTAATATCTTTAACTGCGTCTAAATGGAAGAAATATGATTTAAAGATGAAAATTCATCAATTTACTTCAATTAAACCAGAATTATAGCTCAATTACAGTTTTTATTTTAAATTGTCCCGGCGCCTCCACCAAAANGGTGTACAAATAAATTAATGGCATAAAACAAAGTACATTTAAAACATTAGCTAATATTTGCAAAAAGAAAAAATGCATTTGTTCGTGAAATTTAAATCGGAATGCTGATAACTTTGTGTCTACATACATATGTAGCTCTACTGAACTTTAATATATAGTTTAACTTCCTGATGAATGAAAAAAAAAAAGGAAAAAATTTGAGAACAAGACTATAGTTTACCTCCCACCCGCTTAAAATATAGAAAGTTAGTCAGATCCACCCCCGTAAGTGCAGGAGTTCGAGTGCTAGAAAACAGAAAGACAGAAATATAAAATAAGAGAAAGAAGTAGGAAGAATCATTATAGAAACAAACAGGCCTATTTATAAAAATAGATAAATAGAAATGTATAGATACTTATGAATTAAAGTATAATTAACAAATACAATCAAGAGAACCATAAATTAGCGATTTATTTTTCAAAAAGTATTTAAGATTATGTTGTATGAAACTTATATGCCTTCAAAAACACGTGTAAAACAGTAATTAGAATAACATACCTATATATAAGCATATATACGCAATCACTCGACCATAATAATAAATGCACACACCACAATAATATTGTATTATTAACAACTACACATTTATTAGAGAGGTTCGTGAACTTCTGGCTCTGTTTCTGCTTTCGACTGCTCGATACGAGCTCAAACTACCAGATATTGTATTGTAGTATCGCTATTAGTATTTCATTGACCGTATTCTTTCTTCACAAATATTCTACAAGTATTCTAAAAGTCGCTTATGTAGTGTCCTTAAGGCACCTATGTAATACTGAATATATGTAACAGTATGTATGTCGGTTGAAAAAATAAAAGTATGTACAACACTATAATAACACAGCAGATGTTTTCCGACTCTTTCTTGCCTGTATCTGCCTCGGTGCTTTGGCTTGAGTTGACTGTTTCTTCTTCTGATTATGGGAACGCTTTTAGGATCAAAAGTTTAGGAAATACATGGCAGGCTTGGAAATCTACAGGGGGATCTGCGGAAGTCGGTTCGTTCGCGGAAATTGTTCATGTGTCACATCGTATTCATTAAAACTGTTGAAATTCAATTTTTTTTATCGTAACTGAAAACTAATTAAAAACAATTTTGAGATGTTATTAAATAATTTAATAATAATCACTCACGGGTTTCTTATTTAT